TGTTATATGTTAAATTAAAAAAAAAATATCGTTTTAGTTTATACCTCCCTGTGGATTGCGTTACAATCACTAATTCATAGCACTTCCTGAACACATTTCAGGATTTTACATACTCGATGTAAAGGAGAAAAGAAAGAAAAACTGCGCCTTCTAACCGCTGTGCAGTAAAGTGGTTTTCCTTGTTCGTAATCTTTCAGCCTGGAAGTTGGCTGAGACGCGTCATATTTCGGTTGGATTACATACGTGTATACTCCTATATAATAAGGGAGACGTGCCTTTTTCGAGTAGCAAGGATTATGTGAAAAAACCTCTTGAGTGTTTGAGTTTTTTTTTTAAACTTTTTCTCCAGTTGTGTTTGTGGTTCGTGAAATTATTTTCGTTAATGAAACTGCGAACCTCTTTCGTTTGTTTGTGGATAAAGTTGTGCAGTTTTTTATGGAGTTTTAATTTTGTGGTTTTCATTTTTATCGTTGGATTTATGGACGCTGTGAACAGCAGCCAGAGTTGGTGCAGTTGTTATGATTAATTCTTAGAAATTGATAATCGAAAGTTGTGAAATAGGTATTGTTTCGTAAATCGTGGACATCATAATGAAAATCAAACATTCACTGTTGAACTAAAACCTCTATTTTCACGAATTTTGGTCCCAATTAGTATTATAACGTTGTTATTATTATTTTTCTATATCAAACAAGGATATAATATCAAAAACAATAAGTAGCAACGCTTTAAACCACCTACAATTAACGACAGCCCGCAAAAAGGTTTATTGAAATCCCTATAAACACCCTAGAACCTCAAAATTGTAATTTAATCATGGAATACAAAATATCTTGCTATCTAGACTAGACTGGCTACACTTTGAAGCCCAAGTTTCATAACTGGTTCGGTTATATCGCATGTCGGGAGCTCTAAGCCGGACTAATAGCCGTTTATTGGATGCACAAAGACATAGCATACAGGCAAAAAATTATGTCTGTGTGTCCGAATACATGAGAAAAACTTTGTAGTACTTTAATGCTTTTTTTAAGGTTTTTGTGTTCGATTATCGAATATAAGTGTAGTGTATTTGGATATTCTAGATTTTATCATCATTATCTACGAATTACTTATTATTACATACGTCATGCGTTTTAGTTTCCAAAGGAGTAGGTAGAGGTGGGCTGGATAAACAATTTGCACACATATTTCAACAGTTAAGTATAACAATGTGAAGTAGAAAAGTGTGAGTATATAAAAAAAACACACATAACATAACATAACATCACGCCTTTTTATCCCCGAAGGGGTAGACAGAGGTGCACATTTCGGCACTTAATGCCACTGTATAATGTAACACCCACTTTTCACTATTTATGTTACGAGTCCCATGTAATAGGGGGTGAGCCTATTGCCATATACCGGGCAGATTTCCAGACTCCGTGCTACTACCGAGATTTTTTAAAAACATAACCTTTTATATTTTTAATAAAACCTAATACTTTGCTCGACCCGGTAATCAAACCCGAGACCCCTTGCCCGGCAGTCGCACTTGCGACCACTCGGCCAACGAGGCAGTCAAAAGCTGAGAAACGTAACTTTTCCCAATCCCAGGAATCGAATCCGTCTTGTTCGAAAGTTACACTCGAAACCACTTGACATAAAAATATTGTCAGCAAAATTATACAAAGGGAGACTCTCACTAATCGAATCCCTTTTCCCGAATTATTTATATTTAACATAGCGGGAATCGGAATTCTCCTCACAGTACATTCAGTCCTAAGTTTAACATTCATATCAAGATTCTAACATTTATTTGAAAAGAGGAAATGAATTCTGCTAATAACTTTGATTTATTTTAAATACGTGTAAGAAATAGTTATGTTATATTGTACATTTTCCAGTTTCTGCTATTTTGTATGCTTCTATCATGCAAGGGTTAGTACATACATTTACATATTTAACTGACTGGTACCTATATATATTTTTTTTATAGCATAAGCCGATAAACTAGCAGACGGATCACCTGATGGTAAGCAATCGGCGTCGCCCATGGACACCTGGAACACCAGAGGCGTTGCAAGTGCGTTACCGGCCTTTTGGGGATTAGGAGACTGAGGATCGTTGGGGATTCAGGAATTGGGGAGATTAGGGAAGGGGAGAGTAATTGGGCCTCCGGTAACCTCACTCAACAACGTAAGCGTTGCTTCACGTTTTCTGTGAGGCCGTGGTATCACTCCGGTCGAGCCGGCCCATTCGTGCCGAAGCATGGCTCTCCAACACTTTATATCTGTGTGTTTATATAATGGTTGTGAGGCACCTAATGTAAATAAAGTTGTTGTCTATAATTATAGGCAAAAAAGCACTTAGATACAGTATTTTATCTGCTTCTTGCCCATCATGTTAAAAGACCTATTGAAAAAATGGAGAATGGGTAAAACTGATTCAAGTATCCATCGTAATTTTGTGATCATAGTAGTTATGTTAACCAGGCGAGATGGTGGCGCTATCATAAAATTAAAAAATGCTACCTATAGGTACAATGGGGGCCACATACGCCTGACCACCACTGTTTGCTTGCACCTGCTGAGACCCATTCTCTAGCCCCGCCTCATTGTACCAATAAATTAATTCTGTTATTTTCAATGAAGAGAAAAAATATTAGTATAGAATCTCGATACTTTAATAGCAGTACACTCACCTCAACTTCCATATTTTCTCAGACTATTAGCAAAAAATTTCTTTAAAAGAAAGCCATACATTATTTTATATGGGAATCATGCTTAAAGATATAAGAAGTAAACACGATAGGTACTATTATAGGAGCGATATAATTATGTGAATTTCTTATAGTGGTACCTATATCAATTACGTTAGTCTCTTATGGTAGTGAGGGTCTATGACTAGTCTGGGGCTTTTTACAAACATTTCATGTTGTCTTTCATTCGTCTTGATTTTAATAATTAGATTAAAATAGAAATTGGGAGTTTTGTATCTCAGTAGCGTTTTAACCTAACACATAGTGCTTTATAGTCGCATTTAAGATTCTTTAATATGAATGCTTTAGTATTTTACTTAGTTGCTGCGACTGCCTCATTGGCCGAGTGCTCGCAAGTGTGACTGCCAGGCAAGGGGTCTCGGGTTCGATTCCCAGATCGGGCAAAGTATTACAGGGTTTTAAAAAAGAATCTCAGTGGTAGCACGGAGTCTGGAATTGTGTCCGGTATATGGCAATAGGCTCACTCCCTATTACATGGGACTCGTAACATAAATAGTGAAAAGTGAGTGTTACATTGCACAGTGGCATTAAGTGTCGCAATGTGCACCTCTGCCTACCCCTTCGGGGATAAAAGGGCGTGATGTTATGTTATGTTATTTTACTTGGTGTTTAAACCTTGTCTATCATTCTCAGATCATACACACCCAATAACATAACAACATAAACATCCTTGTTAAACGCACTCAACTATACTCCGAATGTTCATATAAACAAACGTCAATTTCGCATACACTTGTATGACAGGCTTTAAACACTCCTCTGTACTATTTCTAAGAACGTGTCAAGCTTTATTTCATTGAAATTTGTACATAACTTCATGTTTAGTTAGAAGCACTTTCTCAATGGGCCGTTCAGAGAAAACTCTTTCATCTACATAGTAGACTAGCAGCCCGTCCCGTCGCACGGGGTAGACAATTATTTATTTTTGGAAATTTGGATTGTTGTAGTGACATAACTACAATAGTTGGACATATGCTACCGCGGACTTTTTTGTAGACATTATAATGTTCTTCAATATTGTCGTACATTATTTTGTTCTATCGCTAATAGTTTCGGCAGCGCATTCGACGAAAGACATTTTAAGACTCATTTTTCTACACCTTCAGTTACATTGTTCAAATTTTACCAAGGATCCATAACTTCTTTCAAAATGAAATGTAGCTTAGGTCAAATTGGAAGAATGTAGTATAGTATTGGTGAAAGAATTTTTTAAATCGGCCCAGTACTTTTTGAGCCTATTCATTACAAACATA